TATTCGTTTATGGGATGTTAAGACAGGATAATAAATCTTATCTTCAGATAATTGTTATCAAGATATTGTAGCTTAATTTTCATCTCAAAACTTTAACAACAACTTAATTCAAAAAAGTGGTATTTATTTTCTTCGTTATATAGTAAATACTCCTGTTAATTACCTTGTCATATCAAAATAGCTAAAATTTCAATCATAAGGAGCGTTAATTTTGAAAGGAGAAATTATTAATCAGTATGGCATAGACTTGAGGACATTATTTAAAAAAAGCGGAAGTTTCATTTTAGAGAACCATATTGAATTATAAAAACGATGAAAATTGATTAATATTTATAATCATTTAATACATTAACATAATTCAGAATTAGCTCTTCAAAAATGTGAAACAAACAAATACAGAGAACGAATTAATTGATGCGAAATTGAATAGAAAAATTTAATCAAACCCTCAGATAAAAAATTATTAGTAGCTTTAAGAAATCATCGATTTACTTATGGTCATACCTGCATAGTTTTTTGACTCACAAATCTAGGGTGGATGGTACATACATAGGTGGTACCTACTGCCTGAATATAGTAGGGGTTTTTCCAAGCCACTATGGCCGGAATACGAATCTCTATCCGTTTATGGGATGTTAAGACAGAATAATAAAAAGCCAAAATAGATGGTCATTCAGATAGGGTATTTTCAATTTGTTCCTCTCCTGATGGTACTACATTAGCATCTGGTAGTGCAGAATACTCTATTCGTTTACGGGATGTTAAGACAGGAGAAGAATATGTCTTGTCAGATAATTGATATAAAAACATTTTAGCATAATTTTAAACTCCAATTTTTAATAACAACAAGATCAAAGAAAGTGGTATTAATTATCAATTATTATTTAGTTTCATCGATTATCACTATTCTTTTGATATCACAATAGCTTATATTTTAATCTTAAGGAGCTCTAATTTTGAGAGGAGAATTTAGTAATCAATCTGGCATCGACTTGAGGACATTATTTAAAAAAGAGGAAGTATCATTTTAGAGAACGATATGAAGTTATATATACGATGAAAATTGATTAATATTAATCATATATAATATATTTTCATTTTTCAGAATCAACTCTTGAGAATAAAACAAAGACATTGAAGAAATAGAAACTTTATGATGCAAGTTAAAATGCAAACTAAATTCAATCAAAAAATTTAAGAAAGACCTATTGATTTTGGATGTAGTAAATATAGGTCAAATCAATTTTGAAGATGTTAGTTTTACTTATGGTATTTTATTGTCCCTAAAGATAACCAAAATTAAATTTATAACTCATTCCCAATTCATAGAATAGGGGTGGAACCAAAAAAAAAGACAATTAATCTGAATTACATTATTTCATTAGTTCAAAGGATATAACATGTATCACTTTTAAGTTTATAAAATAAATAAAAGTGATTCAGACTATAAGTCTGATTTGTACTTCTATTCAAGGATCAAGTAGTATCAGAGAATAGGATTAGTTTGATCAATAAATTTAAAAATATATATACAAGTTGTTAGTACTGAGTAATATTGAATTTATTTTAATTAA